ACGCCGAACGTTCGACAAGATACAAAATAGAAACCGCGCACGACAAAATAGAAACCGCGCGGGACACACAAAATGACCGCGTTACACGCGACTAGCGATAATTCGCTATAGACTTGACACACAAACACTCGACATCATGACCCATCATACACACAATATTTTGAGCATGAAATATATGTTTATTTCATGCACTCATTCCATTCCATGCACACACGCATGCACGCACACGGACAACAAGCCGAGTGCAAACCGTAGGGTTGCACCAACATGTCTCTGATCTTCCCAGGGTTCTCCCTCCTCTCCCACCCTCGCCTGCTCCTCCCTGTCTTCCCTGTGTCGAGGGGCGGCAGCGCGCCACTCGTCACTCCTCCTCATTCCCTCCCATAGAGGCTCCTCTGCAGACTCTCCACCTGGACGTGTGGGGCCCAGCCCGCGTCCGTGGACAGGGCCACGAGCGGTACTTCGTGCTGGTCATCGACGACTATACGCGCTACACCACGGTCTTCCCCTTGCGCACCAAGGGAGAGATCCCTGATGTTTTGATCCCTTGGATCCGCGCTGCTCGTCTCCAGCTCCGCGAGCGGTTCCAGTCGGAATTTCTTGTCCTACGTCTGCACTCTGACCGGGGTGGTGAGTTTTCGTCCGACCTCTTGGCAGCCTACTGTGCGGAACACGGCATCCGCCAGACGTTCACTCTTCCGGCCTCTCCACAGTAGAATGGGATTGTTGAGTGCTGCATCAGCTTAGTCATGGAGGTCGCTCATACCTCCATGATCCATGTGGGTGCCCCCCATTTTCTGTGGCCGTTTGCAGTTCAGTACGCTGCGCATCAGCTCAACCTCTGGCCCCGTGTCTCTGCTCCGGAGACCTCGCCCACACTGCGTTGGACGGGGAAGGTTGGCGATGCGTCGGTGTTCTGAGTCTGGGGATGTCGAGCCTTTGTCCGCGATACGTCCGCGGACAAGCTCTCCTCCCGTGCCGTTCCCTGCATCTTTCTTGGCTTTGTCCCTGACGCGCCTGGCTGGCAGTTTTACCACCCCACATCGCGCCGTGTCTTCCCCTCTCAGGACGTCACTTTTGACGAGTCGGTACCATTCTACCATCTATTCCCCTACCGCACTGCGCCGCTCCCCCCCCACCCCCCCCCCCCCCCCCGCCGCTCTTCCTCACGCCAGCTGCTACTTCGGTAGACCCCCTCCCTCCCCAGGGTCCTGCTCCCTCAGGTGATTCCCAGGTAGACCCGGTCGAGCCTGTCGAGGTAGCTATCAACTCTGGTCCTACGAGGGGTACAGCGTCTGGGGGTGTTGAGCCTGGGGGTGCTGAGACTGAGGGTGCTGAGCCTGGGGGTGCTGAGCGTGGGGGTGCTGAGACTGAGGGTACTGAGCCTGGGGGTGCTGAGCCTTGGGGTGCTGAGCCTGGGGGTGCTGAGCCTTGGGGTGCTGAGCCTTAGGGAGCTGAGACTGACCGTCCAGCGGCTGGTGCCGCTCCCTCTTCACAGCAGCTGCGTGAGTGGTACTCTCAGCGTTACAGCCTCCGACGTGGGGCTGCTGGAGCTGCGGATTCTACCAGAGTTGGAGCTGGTGGTGCTTCGGGCACTGTGTTGCAGCTAGCGCCTCCCTCCCCATAGCGACTGTGTTAGTGGTACGCTCGCCGCTACAGCCTCCGGAGCGGCGCTCCTAGCACTGGGGTGCCGCTCGATGGAGGCCGTGGTGCGGCTGGAGGTACTGGAGCTGCTGGGACTGGGGGTTCTGCTGGAGCTTGAGCTCCTGGAGCTGGTGCTACTGGAGGGGCTGCTGGTGCTGGGGTTGGAGCTGCAAGTGCTGACGTTGCTAGAGCTGTCGGTGGAGCTGAGGACACTAGGCCTACTGGAGTTGCTGTCGCTGCTGACTCTGGGGTTGGTCGTGCAGGTGCTGGAGCCGACAGTGCGGTTGCAGCTGGTACTCCTGGAGGTACTGGAGTTGGCGCTGCTGGAGCTGCTGCTGGGGAATCTGGTGCTGTCTCTGCTGGTTCTGGGGGCGCTTCACGGCCGCGGCCGTACTTTTTTCCGCTCCTTCAGCAGGTTCTTGGTCCGCCTCCTCCTCCTTGTCCTGCTCCCTCCTTAGAGTGTCCTCAGCCTATCCAGTCGCAGTTACAGTTACAGCCTGCCTCCCCCCTCCCTGCTTTCCTATATAGTTACAGTAGTTGCTGAGCTTGAAGACTTTGCTGCTCGCTGTCGTCTAGACTACGCCGCGAGTCTTGTTGCTGAGTCTGAGTCTATTTGTCCTCCGTCCGTCGGGGGTGAGTGTGCTCCAGGCACGGACGTCCTTGAGGACAGGCAGGAAGAGTTGGAGTGCTTTGCCGCTGCTGTACCTCATCTTGTGTCCATGCTGATTGCACCTGAGGGAGACCCGGATGCACCAGACATCTCGACCCCACACTCTTACGCTGAGGCGATGGCGGGTGAGTACTCCTCTCAGTGGCAGTCAGCCATGGATGCAGAGATGGCATCCTGGAAGTCCACTGGCACTTACGTCAACGAGGTTCCCCCTCCTGGGGCGAACATCGTCAGTGGCATGTGGATTTTCAGGGTGAAGCGGTCGCCAGGTTCTCCGCCTGTCTTCAAGGCTCGTTACGTTGCACGAGGCTTCAGTCAGCGAGAGGGAGTAGACTTCTTCCAGACCTTCTCCCCCACCCCAAAGATGACCACTCTTTGCGTGCTACTGCACGTTGCTGCTCAGCGTGACTACGAGCTTCACTCTCTTGACTTCGGCACAGCTTTCTTGTAGGGCAGCCTGCACGAGGAGACCTGGCTGCGCCGCCCACCTGGCTTCACTGGGTCGTTTCCTCCTGGTACCCAGTGGAGCCTCCGGCGGCCAGTCTACGGTCTCCGCCAGGTGCCACGTGAATGACACGACACACTGAGGACTATTCTTGCGGCTCTTGGGTTTGCGCCTTATACTGCTGACCCGTCACTGTTTCTGCGCACCGACACTTCGCTGCTGCCGTTCTACATCCTCGTGTACGTCGACGACTTGGTCTTCGCCACTACTGACACTGAGGCTCTCGCCCACGTGAAGTCTGAACTGCAGAAGAGACACACGTGCATAGACCTGGGTGAACTGCGCAGCTACCTTGGCTTGCAGATCACCCGGGACAGAGCACGTCGCACCATCACACTGACTTAGTCACACATGGTGCTGCAGGTCCTTCAGTGCTTCAGCTTCACCTGGTCCTCGGCATAGGCCACTCCTCTGGCTATAGGTCAGTCGCTCTCAGCTCTGCCTTCGGATGAGTCCGTAGAGCCGAGTGGTCCTTACCCAGAGTTAGTTGGCTGCCTCATGTACCTGATGACTTGCACTCGTCCTGACCTAGCGTACCCTCTTGGCCTTCTGGCTCGCTACGTGGCTCTTGGTAGGCACTGAAAGGTGCACATGGATGCTGCAAAGAGGGTATTGCGCTACTTGTGCAGTACATCGGGCATGGGGCTCGTGCTTGGAGGGAGGAGCTCAGTTGTTCTCACTGGGCACTCAGACGCTTCTTGGGTTGACGACCAGGCTACTCAGCGGTCGTCACAGGGTTACACCTTCAGTCTTGGCTCTGGCTCACTTTTGTGGCGTTCTACACGTTCATCTTCAGTTCTCAGCTCCAGTTGTGAGGCTGAGATCTACGCCACAGCCATGGCTGCACAGGAGTTACGCTGGCTCACCTACGTGCTGACCGACCTGGGAGAACGGCCTCGTTCTCCTCTAGTGCTGTACGTCGACAACAAGGCTGCCATTGCCTTGTGTGAGGAGCACAGACTGGAGCACAGAACGAAGCACATCGCTCTACGTTACTTCTTGGCTTGAGAGTTGCAGTAGCGTGGTCAGCTTCGTCCGCGTTACGTGGCCACTCAAGCCAACACTGCTGATACATTCACCAAGGCACTTCAGTCTGGTGATCATCAGTGTTTCAGTACTTTGTTAGGGCTTGTGCCCACTTTTCCTCACTTGTTGTAGACTTTGCCTGTACTGTGATCTATATTTATATACCTGCATGCTTGCATTGCTAGGTAGAGATCACCCTGATGTTTGTGTTGCAAATATGCCTCTGCAAGTGAATTGGCCTTGTGGCCCTTTGCTTGTGCTCAGTGTGTGTGGTGACTTTGTGATCCACCCTGAGCTTGCGTTTTCTTTCTTGACTGGTCTTGTGACTCCTTGCTCTACCCTACTTAGCCTATGGGGGTGTGTCAAACATTATATATGTTATTGCTGTGTAGGCTACAGTGGGTTAGCCTTTAGGGGGTACAATATTCTAGGGTTTCCTACTTGTACCACCAATGTTCCTAGTACAATCACTTCTTGTTTCTGACAATTGTTGGGGACTAAGCTTGCAATTTCTTCTGCATACCACCCCCAGACTGACGGCCAGACAGAGTGACCCAAACAGGTGGTTGAACAGTTATTGCGCACAGCTTGCAAAGACGACGTCAGCCACTGGGACACACAGTTACTGACCTTAGAGTTCGCTTACAACAATGCGTCACATGCAGCCAAAGGGAAAACTCCTTTCTTCCTGTGTTACAAACGGGAACCTCTTACACCACAGCAGCCAACCACACCGGCACACGTCCAAGCCGCACATGACTTCATCACCACCATGCAACAGCTATGGGAGAAGACTAAACATTGTCTCACCACGATGCAGTACTCCCAGAAGCAGTATGCCGATCGTCAACGATGTGATAGCTCAGTAGTAGTCGGAGATCAGGTGCTTCTCGACACGCGCAACTTGAACCTGTCTCACCTACTTGTTGGAGTAGGCTAGAGCTCGCTCTGGTCTTTATTTTGGTGTTCTTATATTAATTCTCCATCTTTACAGAGAGTCACGCATTTAGGTTCATTTTAGTTTCATTTCGTAGTTCTTAGTACAAACCAATCACACCCTAGGTTCATTTAGGGTTTCCAACCCTCTTTCCTTTGTACCTCGACATTTTCTTCCTAGTGCAACTTTTTCAACCTTACCTAACTCTCTCGCCATCTATGGCTCCTCTCATCTTAACGTGGTATTCAGACCGTAGTCCTAGGTGTTTCATATTTATCCGTATTTTAGAAATAATCTTTGGCCCTTAGGCCATTTCCGCGCTACTTAGCTAGACTTGTTTTTTTATTATTATCTCCTTTCTTTCCCATCACTCTAAAAAATTGCATTTTTTGTCACATTATACTCTCGGGAATCCCTCAATCCAGTCCGTAGCGCGTCGCCATACCGCCCTTATCACCCTCCCTCGCCTCCTTCTCCTCCCGTTTCTGGCGGTCACGCGCCCATTTTCGCCCAAAGCGCGCTCTGCCCCCCCCCCCCCCCCCCCCTCCCTTCCCCGTCCCGTCGCGCACACATTGCGCTCCCGCTGCCGCGGGCGCTAAGCACCGTCCAGCAGCGCGCGCGCCTGCCCTTCCTTGCGGCGCGCCCTGCCCTTCCTCAATCCGCCCCTTCCCTCACCCTCCTCCTCCTTCCCTCTCTCCTTTGTGCTTCCCCCCACTTCCTCACCTCTTCCTCCTCCTTTTTTCTCTCCCCATCTGCTGCGGCTCGCAGCTCCTTGTGGCGCGCCCTGCCCTTCCCACAATCCGCCCCTTCACCCTCCTCCTCCTCTCCTCTCTCCCACTAGTTCCCTCTCCAATATCTCTTCCTTCCTCCACCTCTTTCATCTCTTCATCTGCTGCAGCTGGTAGCTGATTGTATTGTGTAGCTGTTGTTCCTCCACACCTTCCCTCCTCAACATCCTCCTCTCAATTACTCAACTGCAAACTCTTCACACTTCTCCCTCCTTTTGTTTCTCCCTTCAGCGGCACAGCAACAGACTTCTCCGCCGCTATCCCTCCTCTTCTGGTTTCTCCCCTCATCGGCGCAACAGCAGACTACTCTGCCATTTTCCCTCCTCCTCTGGTTTCTCCCCTCATCGGCGTAGCAGCAGACTACTCTGCCATTTTCCCTCCTCTGCTTTCTCCCCTCATCAGCTCAGCAGCAGACTACTTTGACATTTTCCCTCCTCCTCTGGTTTCTCCCCGGATCGGCTCAGCAACAGACTACTCCGCCACGTTCCCCCTCCTCTTGTTTCTCCCCTCAGCGGCTCAGCAGCAGACTACCCCGCCCTTATTCCTCCGCATCTTATACCTCTCCCCTTATCTGCTCTGCAGCTGTTTCCTCCTCCTCATGGCGACCTCTCTCGCCCTCCCCTCCCTCCCTCTGTTGGTCCTTTAGCTTGCGCCCGATGGCAGTGCAGTCAACTTCCCCAGTTGGCTGAACTGTCTTGAGCCCTTTGTCTGGCACCCTAGTGAGTGGCTTTAACCTCTGGTTTCTCACTCATCAGAGTGGTTCTGTCGCCATTCCTACCTCTCCCTCTGCACCCACCTCTTCCTCCTCTGACCCCTATGCTGATGGCCTCCGTGTTGCCATTGCTGAAACTGAGCGGCTTGTGGCCACGGCGCAAGCCACCGCCACGGCTGCTCCTGAGAATGGTGCTGCCCGTGACTTAGCTCGCATTCTTACTGAGTCCCTCGAGAGCACCCGCAAGCGCCTCACTGAGCACCTCGCTGCCCCTTCTCCTCGCTGCCCCTTCTCCTCGCTCTGCCTCTACGCCCCTTTCCTCTGCTCCACCTCACTCTGACCTTCTCGCTGACTGGCATTTTGCCAACGCACGTGCCTGTCAGGTCATCCTTGTCTGCCTCCCTCCAACTCTTCTCCCTCAGTGCTCGCACATCTGCTATGCCAAGGACCTTCTCGGCTATCTCACCGAGCGCTTTCAGTCATAGACTCCCATCAGCGTCATTGCCCTCTTACGCGAGCTCACCTCTGTTCGTCTTGCTGACTTCACCACCATGGCAGACTACATCGCTCGTGTGCAGACGCTGTCCTCCCAACTTTCCACTCAACAGTTTGAACTTTCCGATCATGTCTGCGGTGCCCTCCTCCTCACAGGCCTCACTCCTGAATACGGTGTTCATGTCGCCTTATATGGTGAGCGCCCTGCCGACCAGTGGTCGTTCTCCCGTGTCTCTGTCTTCCTCCTCCAGGTAGAGCTCAACCTCCGCAGCTGCCCTCCTACTGTCGCTGCTGACACACCCTCTTCTGCCCTTCTTCCTCTCTCCACCACCATTGCTGCCGCCGCTTCCTCTCGCCCTCGCAACACCTTTCCTCCTTGCACCTACATCATTTGACAAGAGCCCCGCAAGAGTCAGCCCTGCGGTCGCACCAATCATCCCACCTTCTCCTGCTTCCACAAGCTCACCGACGAATGGTTCCTAGCTAGCAACAGTGGTCGCCCTCCCAACTGGCTCCAACTCTCTTGTCAGCGTTGCCAGTCCTCTGCCCGGGCGGTCCTTGCGGCCGTCGACTCTGGTGCAGGTGCTCAGACCTCTGCTCTCAGTGTGACTATGCCTAGTCAGGATAGCATTCTGGGGACTTCTCCCCTTATGGACCCTCGTTTTGCCATGATGTTTGCTCCTTCTGTTAATGGCAATGATTCTCAGTATCTTGGTCCCACAGCTGATGCTCTTTCCCTCCCTCACACTCTTGAGTTTGTTCTTGATAGTGGTGCTACTGGCTCTGTCTTTCGTGATGCTGGTGTGCTTCGCTCTTTTCCCCATCCATCTCCACTCAAGGGGCTGGGGATACCATGACCATGACTTGCACCGCTACCTCTTCTCTTCCCTGTCCTGCCTCCCCCTCTGGTGCTATGACTGGCCTCTATGTTCCTTCCTGCCGCCACAACCTTCTGTCTCTCTCTGCTCTTCAACGTCTTTGTGTGCGAGCAAACTTTCCTGAATGTGACTCCTACTGTGATCTCTATCACCGCAACCGCCATCTTGCACGCTTCACTCTTTCTCCTATCACTCGCCTCTACACTCTTCGTGTCTCTCTTCCCCCTTCTGCCCATCATGCCTCTTCCGCTTCCGCCCCTCCCATTCCCTCCTGCGACTGTCGCTCTCTTACTCAACCTACCCTTCTCCATCATCGACTTGGCCACCCCAACTTTCCCCTTCTTCGCAGTATGGTCTCTTCTAAGCTTCTTCATGGCCTCCCTTCCTCTCTCCCCCCCCTTCCTCCCTCTCCTGCTCCTCCATCCACCCCATGTGTCCAGGTCCAACTCTCCTAGTCACCTCATCCCTCTTCTCCCTCCGCCTCTCCCCAACCCCTTGACCTTGTTCATATGGACCTCTGGGGTCCCTCACCTACTGCTTCTTGTCAGGGTCATCGATATTTTCCGCTTTTGGTTGATGACCCCTCACGCTTTGCAACTATCTATCCCCTCCGTGCCGAATCTGACGCTCCCTCCCTCATCATTCGCTGGGCTGAGCAGGCTCGTCTACGTTTTAAGAGTCCTGTCGCGCGCTTCCATTCCGATGGTGGTGGCAAATACTTCAATCACTCTCTCTCCTCTTTTTGTGCCTCTCATGGCATTCGCCAGACCTCCACTCTTCCTCACTCCCCGGAGAAGAATGGGGTTGCTGAGCATCGCAATCGTACTCTCATAGAAATTACTCAATGCCTTCTCACACATGCCTCTGCTCCCCACTCTCTTTGGAGCTATGCTCTTCCCCATGCCACTTTACTCTCTAACCTCTGCCCTCATCCTCTTCGCCCCACTACCACCCCTTCTAGCTTTGGACTGGCCGCCAGCCCTCTGTTCGCCCTCTTTGGGTATGGGGGTGTGTCGCCCATGTTCTTGTAAATCCAGCAGACCGATCTCGTCAGGGTGGAAAGCTCGCTCCCAAGACGCAACTCTGTGCATTCCTTGGCATCAACTTTGATTGTGCTGGTTATCTTTTCTATACCCCCTCCTCTCACCAACTCATCTGTAGCCAGGACGTCATTTTCGATGAGACCCACTGTCCATTCCATTCTCCCCCACCCGCCCCTCCTGTCCCTTCTCTTCACTGGTCTGATTTCGATCAGTCATCGTCTGTCCTCCCCTCCCCTCCTCCCCCCCCCTCCTATCCCACCTCTTTCCGCCCCTCCCCCCGCACGAGCCTCTACTGCCCCCCTTTCCGACATCATCTATGGCGCCTCCCCACCCGCCTCTTATTCTTCGGCTCCCCTCCCTTCCTCAACTCCATCTTCCTCTCAACCCCCTTCGCCCATTCCCATCCCCCCCCCTTCCCCGCGCCTTACTCGCTCCATGACTCGCGCCCTTTCTAGTTTTCAGCACTCTGCTCTTTTCACTCGTCTATCTCCATCCCAGGATGTGAATCTTCTTGAAGATCGCTTTGAGGAGCTCTTCACCATTCATCCTGTTTCTCCTCTCCTTTGTGTCACTATCGGTGACTTTAGCAATTTTCCCACTCTTCTCTATTAACACCACTGCCATTCCCACCCCTCAGTCCTACTCCGAGGCTGTGCCGGGCTTTCATGCCACTGAGTGGATGGCTGCCATCATTGCTGAGTGTGGGGCATTTACCAGAACTAATTCCTACATTGACTCTGTCCCCCCCCCTGGCGCCACCATTGTCAAGGGCAAATGGGTCTTCCGTATGAAGCAGCTGCCCGGCGAACTTCCTGTCTTCAAAGCCCACTACTGTGCCAAGGGCTTCACTCAGCGTGAAGGCATTGACTACTTTGCCACTTACTCCCCCACAGCCCGTCTCCCCACTTTCCGCCTCTCCATTCTCCGCCTCCTTCTTGGCTTAGGTGCTCGCTGGAATTGGGAGATCCATTCCATGGACGTTTCCAATGCTTTCCTTCAGGGCGAGCTGCATGAGCGCATATTCCTTGAGCGTCCTGCTGGCTTTCCTCACCCGTTCCCTCCAAGCACTATTTGGGAATTAAAGCGACCTGTGTATGGCCTTAAACAGGCCCCGCGCGAGTGGCACGTCAAGCTCACCTCCACCCTTCACTCTCTCGACTTCTCTACCTCCAACTCTGACCCCAGTCTTTTCATTCGCACTTCCTCCCACAGGCTCTACATTCTTGCCTACGTGGACAATTTGGTGCTGCTTGCTGAGGACTCCGCCGATCTTGCTGCTGTCAAGAAAGCCCTGCAGGCGCGTGTCCTGTGCAAGGATCTTGGCGAGCTTTGTCACTACCTCGGCATGGAGATCCGTCGTGATCGTGCTGCCCGCACCTTCTCTCTCTCCCAGTCTTTCTACATCCAATCCATCCTCCAACGATTCGAGATGTCGCAAGCCAAGCCGGTCTCCACCCCTCTTCCTGCTAACCATCAGCTCACTGCCCCTGCCGTCCCTGCACCCTCCTCTGAGCTGCGGCCTTATACTGAGCTTGTTGGGTCTCTTATGTATGCTATGATGTGCACTCGCCCCGACCTTGATTACCCCCTCAGTGTTCTCTCTCGCTTTGTCGGTCTAGGCCGCCACACTGACGTGCACTAGGCGGCTGCTAAGCACATCCTGTGCTATCTACGTGCCACCTCTGACCTTGTTCTCACTCTTGGTGGCTCTCTTCCTCCCGTTCTCTCCAGCTACAGTGACTCTTCCTACGCTGACTCTCGCCCTAATCGCTACTCGTCTCAGGGTTATGGTTTTACTTTTGGTAGTGGTCTCATTAGCTGGTGCTCCACTCGCTCATCCTCTGTCTTCCTTTCCACCTGCGAGGCTGAGTTGTACGCAGGCACCTTGGCAGCTCAGGAGGCTCGCTGGCTCTCCTTTCTCCTTGCTGAGCTTGGTCACTCTCAGTCTTCTGTAACGCTCTCCTGTGATAGTGTAAGTATGATTCATCTCACTGAAAATCCTATCTATCATACCTACAACAAGCATATTAAGGTCCGCTATTTCTTCGTGCGCAAGCTGGTGCAGCCTGGCTTCTTACGTCTTTGCAAGGTGGATGCTTCTGCCAACCTTGCTGACATTTTCACCAAGGCCCTCCTGCGTGCACCACACCATCTCTACGTGCGCGAGCTTGGGCTCACGCGTCTCTCCACTTATGGGGGTGTGCCGGTTCACTAGGTTTTTTGCTCCAAAGATTCACCTAGCCTGGGGGTGTGTTGGAGTAGGCTAGAGCTCGCTCTGGTCTTTATTTTGGTGTTCTTATATTATTTCTCCATGCATAGAGAGATTTACACATTCAGGTTCATTTTAGGTTCATTTTATAGTTCTCAATACAAACCGAACACACCCTAGGTTCAATTAGGGCTTCCAACCCTCTCTCTTTTGTACCTCGGCATTTTCTTCCTAGTGCAACTTTTTCGACCCTACCTAACTCTCTCGGCATCCATGGATCCTCTTATCTTAACACTACCATATAAGCTCCGGCCTCGCTTCTGTGGTCCTTTTCTCGTTGAGGCACATATGACACCAGTAACATTCCGCTTGCGCTTACCTACGACTTGGAAGCTTCACGTCGCTTTCCATTTTCAGCTACTAAAGCCATACAAGGACCCCAACCAACAGTTCCAGGGACGACAATGTCAAAATTTTAGTCTGTGTAGGCTGTAGTGGGGTAGACTATATGGGGTACAACATTTCTAGGTTTTCCCACTTGTACCCACCTGCTTGCTATTTCATTCATTCCTCATTCTTCACATGGTATAGAGCAGGTTCCCTCGTGGGAACGCTTCTCAGGGCCCACCACCTAACTCGATCTTTTTTTTTCCTGCCCGAGGCGCGCCCCGTAGGCCGCCCTCACATCGCGCCCTTCTAGAGGCCCCTCGCGCCA